GGTCCAGCGCCGATCCGAGAAATCCGCGCGGACCTCCGAGTTTTTGTGTTTTTGCTTCCTTGTTCGTTCCCCTATGTGCCCAGCACCCTGGTGCGCGCCGCCGCCAGGAGGGCGTGTGCATCGGCCCCCGGGGCCCCGGGTGGGCCCCGCCAGGAGCGGTGCGGTGCCTGCGCGCAGCCGGCGCCCGGGCGCGGCGAGGCGCCACGGCCCCGCGCGGCGCCCCGCGCGGCGCCCCGCGCGGGCGCGCTGCCGCCGCCCCCCGCGCGCGGCGCGGGCGCGCCCCGCGCGCGCCGCGGGCGCCCCCGCGCGGGCGGCAGCACCTGCCAGGGCGCGCGGCGAGGGGCTCCAGTCCCTCCTCCTCCTCCTCCTCCTCCTCCTCCTCCTCCTCCTCCTCCTCCTCCTCCTCCTCCTCCTCCTCCTCCTCCCTCCCCCTCTCACCTCCTCCCCCTCCTCCTCTTCCTCCTCCTCCTTCTCCTCCTCCCTCCCTCCCTCCCTCCCTTTCGCCCCGCCTCTGTGCGCCGCCCCTCCGTCCTCGGCCCGCCGCTTCCCCGTCCTCTCCCCAGTTTCTCCTCGCCGAGGGGCTCCTGCATCTGCCAGGATGCGCGCCGAGGGGCTCGAGCACTCACATATCTTTACGTCGCAGCGCGGCAGAGGCAGTCCGCACGCGCGTCCAGGCAACCCGGGCTGCAGCGAAGCGAGCTGGCCCGCATGCAAGAGGAGGGGAGAATCGATCACTCACACGCCTGAGGGCCGTGCTCATCACCCCTCAGCCCGCCCCCTAAATCAACGCTGAGTTTAGCATGAATCACGGTTTTGGGGTTCGAGTAGTTCTGTCCACCCAAGCCACCTCCACACTGCCGCATCCTCAATATTGATTTTGGGGGGGCCGGGGGGGCATCTTGCGCCGCTGGGCTCGCTTTTGTTGTCCAGGTACAACCCCCTGAGATACTGGCGCCTCAATTTTTCGACCTGGGCGTTTTCGCGCAGCTCCGGGCCCCGGGGCCCTCACAACACTTCGATCTGGCTCGGAGGGTGCAGCAGGAGGAGGGGGTCAATGGGAGTCCAGCAGTGGTCTCTCGCGATGCTGCATGTCTCCGCAGTGTCGGATCCGAGGCTCCCAACCAATGGGAGCGGCCGATTTTCGGCTATCTTCAGCTCCTGGGGGCTCTCCACGGGCCCCGGGACCGTCAGGAAAGGACTCCGAATGAGAACCGGCCTTGAAGAGGTGGTGCAGGCCCTGAGATCCGACGCCTCGGAAGCATTGCAACATCGCGAAACATCACGACCGGAGCCCAGGACCCCATGTTTCTGCGCCATTTCTCGAGCTGGCTCGATCTGTGAGGGTCCTGGGGCCGGAGGCTATTCGAAAACGCCCGGCTCGAAAAGATCACGACGCCAGGATCTCAGGGGATCTCCAGGAGACCACGCGTCGAACAAAGTAGGAGCGCCGGATGTTTGGGGCGCGCGATGGGGCAGCACCTGAGGGCCGCCGCGGCCCCCCGAGGCCCCTTCTCCCGGGTAAGTCCACGAGGACATGAGTGACAGTTGGGCGAACTTTTTGACTCGAGATGCCAGTGGCATTTTGTTCTCCGTGAAACGTGTTTGCCATATGCTGGAGTAGTCTTCAGAAATCGTCAATTGTTTCGACTTTCCAGGTTCATAGCCCTCGGTCGGTTGTTCCTGAACTACATAAGCGGCTGCCCCCTGCTGGGCCCCTTTCTGCCGCTGCTGCTCCTCCTCGGGCTCGGGCTGATGGCATCGGGGTCCAGGGGTGGGGCGCTGCCATCCCCCCCCCCACTCACCGCCCACCAAACAACCCCAACCCAACCCGAAGGCCACGATTTGCCCCCCATTTCCAGGGGGGGGGGGGGGTCGGGGAACCTCGAAAGAACACATGGAGCCCGTACCCCCCCCCCAACCCGAAATTCGGGTCAACTTCGGGCCCTCGGGTTGGGCTGGGGTGGTTTGGTAGGCAGTCACCCACAGGCCGTATCGTTCAGCTCCCCATCCCCATCCGGACAGCACCATTTTACCGCCCCAGTGTTGGGGAGACCCCTCGAAGCCCGAGGAAAACAGCCTCTATCTCCATCTTGGGGGTAAATCGGCCATTCCCAAACCCCGGACGTCATGATTTTCTCGTCACGTCGACCCTGGAGGCCTCGACCCATTCCCTGGGACCAGTTTTTCGTCCTGGGTCCTTTTTTGACGGTCCCGAGGCCTGGTAATTGAGTGCACCCAGAGGCCGAAAACAGCGAAAAACCTACCGTCGTTTTTTTCCGTGACTCGAGGGGGTCTGGGGTGGGGCCCAGGCCACGCCGTTGGGGATGGGGATCGGTTGAACGATGCTCACACACCCCAGGGGCCCCCGGGCCGTTGCCCCTCGGGGGCTGGATCAAACTGGAGCCTGCAGAGAGAGAAAGTGGGAAAACGCCACGGCGGAGGCGAGCGGCCCCAGGGGGGCGAGGTGGCCAGTCCCCCAGCGCCCCTGGGAGGAGGAGCAGGGGGGGGGTAGGGTCGAGAGAGGAGGAACACCATCTTCTCCTCCTCCTCCTCCTCCTCCTCCTCCTCCTCTTCCTCCTCCTCCTTCTCTTCCTCCCTCGCCTCCTCCTCCTCCTCCCCTGTCTCCTCCTCCTCCTCGAACTCATCCTGATACGCTGTACTCCTCCTCCTCCTCCTCCTCCTCCTCCTCCTCCTCCTCCTCCTCCTCCTCGTCGCTCTTCCTCGCTCCTCCTCCCTTCCCCTGCTCCTCGCCTGCGGCCCCTCCTCGTGCCGCTGCTTCGCCCCTTCCCTTCCCTTCCCCCCCCCGTCGGCTCCTGCTCTCTCAAGGGCTCCTCCTGCCGCCGCTACTGCGCCTCCTCCCGCTCCTCTCTCGGACTTCCTCCGCTCTCCTGCTGTTGCTGCTCCTCCTCCTACCACTACCCGCCCTCCTTCTCCTCCTCCTCATCATCACCATCGTCATCATCAACATCATCAGCATCATCATCACCATCATCAGCATCATCATCATCAGCATCATCATCATCGTCATCATCATCTTCTTCATCTTCATCTTCATCTTCATCTTCATCTTCATCTTCATCTTCATCTTCATCTTCATCTTCATCATTCTCTTCATCTTCATCATCATCACCATCATCATCATCATCAGCAGAAGCAGCATCATCATCATCATCATCATCATCATCATCATCATCATCATCATCATTATCACCATGATCATCATCACCAGCATCATCAGCGTCATCATCATCATCACCATCATCATCATCATCATTATCATCACCAGCATCATCACCATCATCAGCATCATCATCATCACCATCATCAGCATCATCATCACCACCATCATCATCAGCATCATCATCATCGTCACGATCATATTCTTCTTCATCTTCAGCTTCATCTTCATCATTATCTTCCTCGTCTTCATCATCATCATCATCACCATCATCAGCATCATCATCACCATCATCAGCATCACCATCACCATCATCATCATCATCATCACCATCACCATCACCATCACCATCATTATCATCATCATCATCATCATCATCATCATCATCATCATCATCACCATCACCATCACCATCACCATCATCATCATCACCATCATCATCATCATCATCATCATCATCATCATCATCATCAGCATCAGTATCATCATTAGCAGAAGCATCAGCATCATCAGCACCAGCTTGCTCCTTCTTGGAGGAGGAACACCTGGAGGCCCTGGCGCCACAACTTCTCAGCGCCGGGCACTTTCGCCCGGCTTCGGGCCTGGGGGCCCTCGCAGATCGGTCGGGCTCGAAGAGCTCCGCAAAAAGACGGGCTCCAGGGCTCCCGTCGTGCTTTCTCACGATGTTGTTTTTCCGCACCGTCGCATTTCAGGGAAGGTGCCGACTTCGCTGCGCTCGCCTCGTTCTCGCCTCTCCTGCGGCCTCCTTTGCGTGGCCCTCGCCGCCACGGCGGGGTTCACTTGGAAGTCCTGGTCAGAGCGCACCCCAGCAGCGAGGTCCGGGGATCGGGGGTGGACAGACCTCCTACCCTGACACGTCGATTAGCGAATTGGCCGTTTTTGGTTCGCGAGAGGGCGTCGCGGCCGTCATTTTTGCGGGTCCAGGTCCGTCGGTTTCGGCCCCAGGCCTTTGTCACTAAGGGGAGGTCTACTAAAGGGAGGTTTGTCCACCGCCGAATGGAGTAGCGCTCTGGGTGCCTGCTGGTCTCCGCAGATGCTGCTCCCCGTCCGCCTGCCCTGCTGCTGCTCCTCCGGCGTGCCCGAGCGGCTCGGCGACTGCCCGGCGTCCGCCACAGGTCCAGCCTTTTCCTGGCTACCCCGCTCGGGAGGAGGGGGAGGGACGGGGAGGAAGGAGGTGCGTCCTTCCGTTCTTTCCGCTATGAGAACTTACCTTATGATTCTCTTTCCTATCATTCCTCTTCTTCTTCCTCCTCCTCCTTCTCCTCCTCCCCCTCCTCCTCCTCCTCCTCCTCCTCCGCGCATCCCGATATGCCATGGCAGCCGTCGGGTCCTACGCCAGCCCGCTCACGGCGCCTCATGTCCTCATTCGTCCCTATTCGTCGCACCTCCTGCTGGTCTTCTTCTTCTTCTTCTTCTTCTTCTTCTTCCTCTCCTCTTCGAATATATATAGAGAGAGAGAGAGAGAGAGAGAGAAGAGGCTGAGGAGGGCACCGACGGAGAGGTGGACCAGTATGAGGATGATGATGAGAAGCAGAAGGACAGTTATGTTGAGGAGGAGGAGGGAAAAAGTTAAGGTGGAGGAGAAGTGGGTGGATTTTTAAGAGGATGAGGAGGAGAACCGCGAGGAGGAGGAGGATGCGCAGTAGAGGACAACTTGATATTCTCTGTGTGGCGGAAGCGGCAGAGAGTCCATGGAAGCACACGGAATTCAAGCACCTGCGTTCCCTGCGGATGCGCAGTGGAAGCTTGGCAGAAGCGTGGTGGAACTGAGCAGAAGCATCTCAACGTGGATTTGCCAGAAATGTCTCAGGTCACCACGGACGTAGCCGCGCGCGGCATCGACATCCCGCTACTGGACCACGTGTTGAACTTTGACTTTCCGCCCAGCTCCAAGCTTTTCGTGCACAGGCCACGAGCTTAGGACGTCCCTCTGGTCTCCTCTCCATCCCTGCCCTCCTCCCTCCTCCCTCCTCACTTCTCTCTCTCTTCCCTCCTCCGGCCGATGCAAGCATGTACAAACAACCAAACACGCGCGTCCTATCCGCCTTGACGAAGCTCTGGAATCGAAGCTGGAGTTGCTTTCTCGATCTTACCCGTCACGTGACAGATCTCGCCTGTTCAATCGCACGGTGTCTCCTACAACTGTCTGCAGATACGCATCATGGACCGCTATATTTCTGTGGAGCACACACTGCATGCCCAGAGCCCTGGAGGCCCACGTCACGGAAAAAGTGTGACCTCGGATGAGAGGGAATGGGGTGGCACGAGATGGGCGGTCTTCCAAGAGAACATGTCGGGGGCCTCGTGTACGCCCTCTCACCATCTAACAAACCTTGCGAGTGGCCTCTGGCCGCTTCCGAGAAGTCTCGTGAACATGTCCCCCCTTGCTCCGTCCCGTTTCGCGCGCCGCAAGGGAGAGGACGAGGGAGAAAGGAGCGAAGGAAGGATAACAAAAAAAAATAAGCATAATCAGAAGACGAATAGTCATAATGATCATGTGATGCTGCTGCTGCTGAGGAGGAGGAGGAGGAGGAGAAGGGAGGAGGAGGAGAAGGTTAAAAGGGGAGGAAGTATGACAAGGGAGGAGGAGGAGGAAGGAGGAGGATGAGGAAGTGAAGTGGGATTCATAGGATGATGATGATGATGATGATGATGATGATGATGATGATGATGATGATGATGATGATGATGATGATGATGACGATGATGATGAGGATGATGCTGATGATGATGATGATGATGATTATGATGATGCGCTGATGATGATGATGATGATGATGATGAATGATGATTGATGATGATGATGATTGATGATGATGATGATGATGATGATGATGATGATGATGATGATGATGATGATGAGGAGGAGGAGGAGGAGGAGGAGGAGGAGGAGGAGGAGGAGGAGGAGGAGGAAGAGGAAGTGGAGGAGGAGGAGGAGGAGGAGAAGGACGGGTAGTGGTGGTCGGAGGAGGGCGGAGGAAGTACAGTTCAGAAGAGTTGTCTACACCTCGGCGAAGTCCTCTTCAGACGAAGGAGAAGGAGCAAGCCGGGATGAAGAGTGACAAGAGGAGGAGGAATAGGAGGAGGAGGAAGATGATCAGGAAGAGGGGGCGGAGGAGGAGTATGACGAGGCGCAGGATGAGGAGGAGGATCAGGAGGAGGATCAGGAGGAGGAGGAGGGTGATGATGAGGAGGAGCAGGAGAAGCAGGAACATGAGTGGGGATGATGTTTTCGATTGGGATGTCGATGCTGCTGCTGATGGTGATGGTGGTAACGATACTGATTCTGGTACTGATGAGTATGATGATGGTGATGCTGATGTTGCTGATGATGATGGTGGCGGTGCTGCTGATGGTAGTGTTGATGATGTAGCTGATGAAGCTGATGGTGATGGTGGTGTTGTTTGTTGTGATGATGATGCCGATGCTGATAAAGATGCTGCGGATGATGATGATGACGAGGAAGATGAGTATTGATATGGTATTGTTGATGATCACGATGATGGTGATGATGATGATTATGATGATGACGATTGCGATTACGGTGACGATGATGATATTTCCCTACCTAGGCTCTGCCTAGAAGGGTTCTTACTCTCTTGGCTTAAAGGGCCGGGCAGTGGGAACCAGCCCGGGCGGTTCCCCCAGTATCCGCCCCGCGGTTCCCCCAGTTACGTCCCCTTAGCTTAGCGTTGCTTATCTCATCTTAACTTAGCTTATTTCATCTTAGTTTAGCTTAGCTTCATCTTAGCTCAGGTTTAGCTTAGCTTACCTTCATCTTAGCTCCGCTGAGCTTTAGCATAGCAGAGCACAGCATATCACAGCATAGCCTAGCATAGCATAGCGCAGCATAGCATATCATAGCATAGCCCAGCACAGCATAGCATAGCGCAGCATATCATAGCATAGCATAGCATAGCGCAGCTTAGCATAGCATAGCATAGCTTAGCATAGCACAGCGCAGCATGACATAGCATAGCATAGCATAGCATAGCATAGCATAGCCTAGCGCAGCATAGCATAGCATAGCATAGCATAGCATAGCGCAGCATAGCATGGCATAGCATAGCATAGCAACTAATGCTGCTTTCCTAGGGTGAAGATGATGCTAATGCTGCTGCTGATGGTGATGATGCACCAGCTGTTGCTGCTGCTGCTGCTGCTCATGATGATGATGATGATGGTGGTGGCGGTGGTGATGAGGATGATAGTGGGGAGCATGATGATGACGATGATGATGATGATGATGACGATGATGATGATGATGATGGTGGTGGTGGTGGTGATTGGTGGTGATGATGAGGATGACGA